TTCATCCTGATGAACTGCAAACAAGTTTTCTTTTTTAAGCGTTATTGTACTGGTGTCTGCTGATAACTTCTTTGTCCTTAACTGCCCTTGTCCATCACATCTTCTGATTCTGTGCCTGCTTGTCCCATTGGATATTTCCAGATGCAAGTGCTAAAACACATTCCTGCCTCAACACTGCCTACCTTTGGGTACCACTCCACCCTCTTGGCTTTCAGCTTTGTTCTATTTAGGTTCTCAAAATTTATAAACGTGGCCCAGAATATGATCAGAATGTAATGTCCTTTTTTTTTTAATCGTTGAAGATAGTTATTTAATATATTTTTTGTTTATCCTCCTCCCTAAAGACTTATACTGTATTCCCAAATCCTTCCTTTCTAAAAAAGAGAGAGAGAGAGAAAGAGAGAGAGAGAGAGAAGAGAGAGAGAGAGAGAGAGAGGGAGAGAGAGAGAGAGAGGGAGAGAGAGAGAGAGAGAGAGAGAGAGAGAGAGAGAGAGAGAGAGAGAGAGAAAGTGAGAGAGACAGCTAGAAATGGAAATAATATTGAATATTGACAAAGGTCAATAATTTGGAATTATACCCAGCCTTGGTCTCCCCCTAACCACTGTTTTATACTCATGGTTCTGTATGGTTTTTAACTTTTTCTCCTAATTTTAATTTATTCCTTCCGAGTTTTAAGTATTTCATCATAGTGGCTTGGATTTTTTCCAATCCCATGATTATCTCTCTATTAAAGCCTTAATACAAAAAGAAATAAAAAAAACCCAGACTGCTCATTACTTTGATTTGTAGCAAAGAGAGAATGGAACATTATTGCTAGAGTGTTTCGAGAAACCATATTTACATTTGCATCAGCTCAATTTAGGTGCCTGATTAGGTTGCGTGTTATGATGAAGATGCACTTACAGTCAGAGGGAAGTGGCGTGGTCTAGATAATGAGCAGGAGACTTCAAGTCAGGAGCCTTGAATGCTATTTCTGGTTGTGCTTCTCTGCCTCTCTGACCTTGAACAAATAAGTCCGTCTAATTGCCTTGGACCTAATCGCCTCCTATGCCTTATAGGACTGCTGTGAGAGTTGGATCACCTAAGTGTTTATTATGGAGTGAAGCAAGGGAGGGAGGTTGGGGATCACAAATGGAATTGAAGATGGGACCTCTGCTTTGATGGCTCTGACTAATAGCCTAAGAGACAGTGTCTGAGAAGTGGGCTGACTGCTCAGATGTTGGTCTGACAGGGCTTAAGTACATAATGAGAGGTTGGTTAGTGGAATGTAAAAGTGTGCCAAAATATTGAATGAGATGATCAAACCAACCTGTTACTTAGGAAGGCTTTACAAGAGTACATATTGTCTTGCTTTTCGTAATGGTGCCATCCTGAGGTTGTCCATGTCACACCTGGGACCAGGACTGGCAGTGACTGGCTCCTGTAGGACATCCTTAGGAAGGCCTGCTAAGCTGTCCATCTCTGACTTTAGGGGCAAGACTTTCCCTTGTGGTGACTCTAAAACACGCTTGAACCAGTTAGTTCCCTCTGTTAAGACTCTAAAACAGGCTTAAACCAGTTAGTTCCCTCTGTTAAGTCTGCAAGACCAGGAAGAGTGTGCCCAGAGAAGATCCATGCATTCTTTGGTTGAGTTCCTCTCAAAGCAGAGAGGTGAAGGTTAATATGCTTAGAAAGAAAATAACTATTTTCTTTCTTATGTAAGATGTTGGATGCTCAGCCCTTAGCAGATATCACAAAGACAGCACCTGTGGCTCTCATCTTGTTACCATCTTGCATTGGCTACTATTTGTTGAGGACAACCTAATAATGGTAGGTAGTAATGATTAAGCACTGTTCTAAGTGCTTTACATCAACCAACATATTTAATTTTCACATTAATTTATTAGTGTTGCACATTAATTTATTTGGACTATTTCTATTCTGATATTACAAAGAAGGAAATTGGAGAGTAAAGATATTAAATAATTTGCTGAGCATTACACAGCGAGGAAGCCACAGCTGCAGGCTTAGAAAACAGGTCAGCTAGCTCCAGAACCTTCCATCAGAAGCACATAGGCCTACGTGAAAACAAATTTGAAAAATGGAGAGAGCATCAAACTCTGGGGCCTGTGGTTAGAAAAGTCAGAGCTATTCTAGAGCAGCATGTCATCTCCTGAAAGTGAGAACACATGCCGATATCCCAATAAGAATACATGGGATCCAGAGCCACCATGAGAACCTTGCTGTCGGCTAGTTCTGACCTGTTCGCACAGCTACAGGATGTCTTTCTCTTAGTGCGAGAGAGCTTCCTGGGATTCTGTACCAAACATCCCTCCTGTTGGAAAGACTTATTCTTTGCCGTTACAGTTCATCTCCTTTCTTCTATGGAGAGCACATGAGAATATCATTTTAGGTGGACCAATAGCTTTCTTAGAGAATTGAATGGATTCTGTTTGAGACTGAATATTGCACCATAATACATTTCTGATACTCTCTGTGAGCTTATTATCCTCTAACCTTCTGGATAAAGTGCCCTACTGGTCATGTGAGTGACCCTCTATGTATAGTTTAATAATTTCTTGTGACCCTCTTTCGTCAGAGGAAGCAAGGTCATGAATTTGTCAAAGGGAGTTGTCACTAGAGACCAAAGGAGAAGGGGGCTAAGAGGGAATTCCCACAGGAACAGGGAGGTGGATCACAATAAAGACCGTACAACAAGTCTCCATGGAGCCACCACTTAGCTTAATAACTAAAGGCAAAACTCCCAGAATTCTCCTGGATTAGCTGTGTGCGAACATTCTTTGGTCCCTCACCAAAGGGTCATAAATCAGAATGCTGCATGTCTGTCAGAATGAATGCTTACTGCCTCTCCAAGTACAGGTTCATGTGCAAGAACTGACCCCCCCCCAAAAAAAAAAACAAAAACAAACAAAAAAAAAAACCTCAGAATGACACCGTGTAAGGGCTTGTTACACTAAATGATCATAAAGCCATTACCAACCGATAGAACGGTTGATAATGCAGAAATGATTACACACTCTCCTCCCCATGGGCTAGCTCAGAGCTGCTACTAAGCCCTCCATGGCTTCCAGGCTGGGGCTGGGTCTTGCTGAGAAGAAATCTGTTGAGAAGGAAACTGATATTTGAATCCCTCCAGTTCTTACAGCCCTTGAGGTGGATGATGGTGTTGCGATTCTCAGCCTATTTCAATTCCAATGTACTTTCGTGTGTGTGTGTGTGTGTGTGTGTGTGTGTGTGTGTGTGTGTGTGTGATAACAGTACTTCTGAAAGATTTGGGGTAAGCTGAAAAATCTAAGGTAAATTAAATCTCATTTTTGTGGACTGGAGGAATTTTCTGTTTAATCTCTCTCCCTCTCTTTCTCTCTCTCTCTCTCAGGATTTTGTTTCTCTCAGCTGGATCTGTAACTCTCCAGCCCCTTCATCTGCATGTGCCTATGAGAATCATGTGCTAGGAGATAGGCCTCTATAAATGTATGCTCTTCCAATTTAGGAATCTTCCAGTGCTAAATACCTTAAACCTTGTTCTGAGATACCATACCGACCCAAACAGATACCATGGTTATTGCAGATATTAAACAAACAAACAAAAAAAAAAAAACACAATCTTTTAGAAATAGAATAATGCCTAAATATATTTCAAGAACCCAGATTCTAGAGTCTGACCATTTGGGAACTAGTGTGGGCTCACCATTTACTAGCTGTGTGTCCTTTAGTAAGTCCTCTAACTTCTCTGGACCTCAATTTCCTCACTTGTAAAAAAGGAGAAGTATTGTTCTTCCTTCCAGCATAGAGTTGCTAGAAGAATTAAAGGAGTTAATTCTTTAACTCAGGTGGCTCAGTTGGTTGGAGCATCACCGCATGTACCAAAAGGTTGCAGGTTCCATTTCCTGTGGGGGCATGTTTGGAGGCAGCTCGTTGATGTTTCTCTCTCTCTCTCTGTCTCTCTCTCTCATTCTCTCTCTCTCTCTCCTCTCCCCCCTCTCAATTCAATACAAATAAATGAGTTAATATACATAACCAAGTGCTAGATCTAGCAAGAGGTCCACCCCTAGAGTATGTTCATATAACTAGACACACATGTTTCACATAGTTAACAACTTCTAGGTGCTGAATAAATAGGCTTTGTTTCTCCTTGTGCTTTTAAGATATTTTCTCACACATTTTTTCATTGGGAACTAATTTGTAATTGGAAAATAAATGTCTTTGATAAGAGAAAATAAGTTCACCCAGGCTTTCAGGATTGTTTGAAGACTAGGGGCATGGTGAGGGGGAAAGAGAATAGGCGAGAGGGCAAGTGGGCAGAGGGCTGAAGGGGACATGAGAATTCAGGGATTCACTCTTGGGAGCCCCAGTGTGAGGATCTTGAGGTGCCTCCTGCTTTGCAAGTGCTGGTCCAGCAGTGGGGATTTTATCCCTGCATTGTCACACGGGCCAGATGGGTCTCACGTTTGACTTCTTGCTCTCTGATACTTCCGAGGATGGGCACTGACGGGCCAGGAAGTACAGACCGGTTCCTAAGCAAGGCTAGCTGAGGCTGTGGTGTTGACAGGAATTTTGACCCTGGCCCCAAGGAGCACCCCAGACCTCTGGAGCAGGAGCAAGAGCTATCCTGCCTTCATTTGCATGTCTGGGTAATTACAACTCATAAAAGTAACCCATTAGTTAAAACCCGGCCCCAGCATTTGACTCTAACCTCCTGCCGCAGCACTGGCCACATGCTGACTTTTGCTGCCTCATTTGTCCTCAATTTATAAGCAGCGGAACCTATAAATAGAAACCCTTTTGCTAACTTCCCCAGGAGGCATCAGCAGGTTTTCCAGCCTTTATGTGTTTTCTTCTTTCTTTTTTTAAACACCAACATGGTAGGCTTGTTTTTTCTGCCCGCTGCTCCTCCAGCCCTCACTTCTAGCTCAATCTGTGGACATTCCAGCTGGCTCACCCGCCCGCCCGCCCGCGGGGCCTATCTGTCCAGGTTGGGTTGTGAAGGAGGCCCCACTCACCTGTAGATCCTGTACCTGGTGGTGAACCCCTGGCGGTACCGCTCCACGAAGTCAGTGTACTCCTGAGCGCGGTGGAAGGGCCCCCGGTCCGAGAGCAGCCAGTCCAGGGGCGGCTGGCCAGCTGAGGTCGCATGCTGCTCAGGGACCACAGCAGCAGCTGTGGCCGAGACAGCCAACACCCAACCGGGGAGGCCCAGCACCAGCAGGGTTGTCCATGGGGCCGCCGCCGGCCGGAGCCCTCTAAACTGAGTGCCGCTCTGCCACCTCATGCTTCTCCCGGGCGGTTGGTGTCTTCATTCTCTCGCCACACTCTCCCCCTCTGAGCCTCTCCTCCAGGGCCCCTAGAATCAGAAAAGTACACATGGAGATGTCAGGTGAACACTCTGGTCTCACCAATGGGCCTGTGTCATCAAATATCAGTGGGCAGGACACACTCTAGGAAGATCCCGCTCAAAAGTTGGGGCCAAGTATCAATCCTGGATATTCCCAACTTAAAGGCTGGCCCAAGTTAGAGAGATCTGAGACTCAGCATCTGAAGGATGGAGGGTCATAGGATGGTCATAGGATGGAGGGACAGAAGCATGAGTGCCTGGACCTCCGGAGTCACTCCTCCACTCCAACTAGGAGATATGGACCACTTTATATGTGCAGGATGATTTTGAGAAGTTGCCCCAGTTAACACACAGTAAGAGAGTTGTATCAGCATTATTATTATTATTATTATTATTATTATTATAGGTTTACATTTCAGTGGGACTCAAGAGTAGTTGAGCTAGGAAGATGCAGAGGTAGAATATGAACCTAGGTCTGGCTCCATGTCCAGAACTTGTGAAAGCATGCTGGGCTCTCTAAGGAGCTAGAGCAGGCAGCAAGGCAGACCCAGGCTTAAGGGACTAGGCGAGAGAAGAATAATGAGGCCATGCCTGCCCTACTGGATCTTAAAAGATATTATAAAATTCCAATAATTAAAATAGGTGATACTGACCCACAAATTAAATGGGCAGATCAATGATATAGAACAGATGGCTTAAAAATAGAGCTCATTATACATGAGAACTTAATATATATTTTAAAAAGCATTACAGATGAATTAGGTAAAGGATGGAATATTGTATCCATCATTTTGGAAAATCAGTTCTAGATGGATTAAAAAACTTAAATATAAACAGTAAAATCATAGAAGGGAGAAAATTCCCCAAATGTTTTATAATAACACTAGAGGCCGATACAAGAAGATTTATGCAGGAATAGGCCTTCCTTCCCCTGGCTGCGGGCACTGTCTTCAATCCAGCCGGAGCCACCTTTCCGCCTTCCCACATTGCCCAGAGATCCTGAGCACACCGCCCCACCCTACCCTAGCCACTTGGTACTTGCATATGCAAATTAACCTACCATCTTTGTTTTGTTAATTTGCATACTCCTGATTTGCTCGTGGGTGTTGCGAAGGTACGGTCAATTTGCATCTTACTCTTTTATTAGCGTAGATTCATTCCTTTAAAACATTTTTAAAATATATTTTATTGATTTTTTACAGAGAAGAAGAGAGAGGGATAGAGAGTTAGAAACATCGAAGAGAGAGAGACATTGATCAGCTGCCTCTTGCACACCCCCTACTGGGATGTGCCCACAACCAAGGTACATACCCTTGACCAGAATTGAACCTGGGACTCTTCCGACCGCAGGCCGACACTCTATCCACTAAGCCAACCCAGTTTCGGCAGATTAATATATTTTAGATCATGGGGTAAAGTGATATAAATAAAAAGGAGGAATCAGCCTTACACATGGATGTAGCATATTTAATAGGATATAATCTGATAAGGATGCCCAGAGTATTTCTCATTTAATGATTTATTGAAAAACATCAATTGAGGGCGCTGTGCTAAGCATTGGCATTACAGAAGCAGGTGCTCATGCCATTATCTGAAACTCTACCATTAGTCATTAACTCCTCTTTTAAAACATTGTTTCTAAAGGCATATTGCTGGAGGGGAGAGAAGGATGCTCATTTTGGAGGTGGGCTACTTGACACAGCAGTCAGGTAGATGTGCACGAATAGGTAGGCAGTCACAATTCTAAAATGGCCACACATTTCCCATGCCCATCAGTGCATGCCCTGCCTAAGGCCCTCCTCTTGAGTGTGGACAGGACCTGAGAATAAGATGAGACAACACTCTCATCATCAGGTCAGTAAGCAGTTGACCATCAAATGGGAAAGTATCCTGGGTAGGCCTGACCTAATCAGCCAAACCTTTAACCAAAGATGACCTTTCTCCTGCTGGCCTGGAAGAAAGCAAACACCATGCCGTGGATGTCCTGTGAGGGCCAGGCAGCAAGAGATTTTAGGTGGCTTCTAGGAGCTGAAAGCAATTCCCAGTCAGTAGCTAGTAAGAAAATTAGAACGGCCACAGGAAATGAGCTCTGCCAACAGCCAAAGGGGCCCCGGATCCCCAGATGAGAACTGTTTCCTCTTTTCAATCTGGTAAGCCCCTGCGCAAAGGACCCAGCAAACCCATACCTGGACCTGACACACAGAAACTTCAAATAGTAAATTTGTTTTTATTGTTTTACGCCTTTAAGTTTGTGGTGATTTGTTCGACAGCAATAGAAAAACAGTACAGACATAGAAAAAGACAATGCTACCCCTCCCCCATTCCGCACAAGGCCTGGCTTGGTGAGGGTTCTTCGTGTTCCCTAAAGACGAGCTATTCTTCTCACATGAGAAAAAAGTGAGTGTGGCATTTTCTGCAGCAGAGTGACACTCCTAAATCTGATCACATCCAGCCTCTCTGTCTGGATTATAGACCCCTCTAGATCAGAGGCCAGGTCTTTGTTTTGTAATTCCAACACTCAAGGGCCCCCCCAAAAAATTGTGAAGATTCAATTGCATGCATTCCATCCAGGGATCACTGTGAGCCAGTGACAGTGTGTGGCCACGGTCCAGCCACTGAACCTCTTGGTGTCCTGTGCTGTGATCTGGGGAATGGTAGCTGCCACCTCACCTGCGAGTCAAGGGTTTTGTAAGGACAGGTGACAGCATGTGGGGAAAAGAGAGCTCTATTGAGTCCACACGTGCTTCTTGTCATTCTTTGTATCTAATTGTGCTTGCTCAGAGCTCACATTGTGCTAAACCTGACTGAGTGTAGCAGTATCGGCTTTAGAATCAAATGCTTGTGATTGCGGAGCGAGTCTGCTGAGCGCAGCAACAACGCCCAAATCCAGAGCCTCCCGCACATCTGAAAAAACAGGCCTTTTCAGATGGTTTCTGCTCCATAGGTTTCTGCTCCATAGGTTTCCTCATTGTCTCAAGACATTTTCACTAAAAAAATTTTTTAAGAAAGAGAGGTTTTAACTTGTTTCAAAACTCTTTTTTTTAAAAAAAAAAAGTCCTTTGTTGATTTGCCTTAATTTTAAAAAGACAAAATAATTGCAACATTGACAGTTATGTAAAAATTAAGCTCCTCCAAGGAATAGCTTTTGGCCATTTCTTTTTCATAATCCCAAAATAATATGACTAGAAGTGTTTTTATTAGTGACCTGTAAAATAATTTTTAACCGTCTACATTCTCATGACTTCTGGTGGCAATGCTAATATTCAACAGGTTAAATAATTATGATGCTTCCATGTGTCCTTTGTCCTAATGCTGACTTTGTGAGTAACCCCCCTCATTATATGCCCATAGATTAAAATGATGGTGAGGCGAGTTCTTTGGTTAAAAAAAAGTATAAATTTAGTTGTGGAAGCCCAATAATTTCATTTACTTAGACCCTATTTAAGACAGAGTTTTACACGGACCCAAATGATAAATTTGCTTTGGACCAAAGGTCCAAGTGAAGTAAGTCCTAACTTTACCTTTGTGAGTACATTAGCTCAGATCTGTCCAGAAATTAAACACATTATAGTTTTGTCAGAAGAGAAAATCAGGTGCAAATGAATTCACACAAGAAGGAGCCCTTGCAGTCTCCAAATGGGAGAGCTTATGAGAATCCTGTCTCCACTTGGAGGTGCTCCCTGGCTGTGGCCTCTTGGGGACTCTTGTGTCCTCCTGTTCATCTCAATCTCCATTTATGCTAGCTGTGTCAAGACAGCCAGTTAAATGTGAGCATCCACAGCTTGTGTACTACATCTCAACAAGTGAGAGAAAATTCCCCCTTAGAAAATTACTGCAGAATAGGGGTTACATGTTAGAGGAGTTAAAGATATGGCTAATCTATTATGAGAGGCCAGAAGAAAAGGAGAAACAGGTGTGAAATCAGTATTGTAATGAACAAAATTATTATTAACCTTGTTAATAAATGTCATTGATAAACACCAGAACAGATCATTTAATATTTGTGTGGAAGTCCTGCTGATGAAGCACCGATAATAAAACCACGCTCCATCTTCACTTCCTAGATTGTCTGCTCCCCCTTTAACAGATGGGAATACTGAGGCTAGGATTACCAGCTCATGTATTTCAGTGGCAGATTCAGGTCTACCTACTCCAGATCCTGTCGTATTCATCCTTCACTGCACCACTGACATGGTTTATAGTTACAAAACCTTGTGGGCTTTGCCACTTATAAGTTGGTGCCCTTGGGAGTAAGTTACTTCCCTCAGGGACTCTCCCTTTGGTCATCAGCAAAGTGATTTAAGAGGTAAGATGAGCCCTCTGGTCTGGTCCAGTGCTGAAATCCCATTATTCTAGGCAAATGCAAGGGTCACAAACAGAAGGGGAGAGGCATTAAGATTTTATTTTTAGGAGGAAGCTCCGTGTTTCAGAAAGGGAGTGAAGCATAAGAAAAGGGAGGGATAAAGCAGAAATCCCTGCCTGATAGAGCAGTGACATTTAATAAAGTGATTAGGCAGTGACATTAAATAAGTTCTCAAGCCATTTGAGTGGTTAATTGGCCAACTCTATTGAGGAGGTGTTTTCCTGAATACATCTGAGGATGTCAGTGGTAAAACTGGCAGAAAGTGTTTTGTTCTGGTTAGCTGCAACATCTTGATGCAAAACCTCTTATTTTGAGCAGAAAAAGAGGATAGACAGGATAAATGGCAAAACATTCGGGGTGGGGACTCCTACAGGGCAGGGGTGAACGTGGGTGCTATTAGATCAATGAGTTTTAATTTCCCCTGCTATTGGGATGATCTGCCAGCTTCAACAGAGACAAAGGATGGTGCTTTAACTCCAATAATAGGCCCCCAGCTGCAGGTCAGAGAGCTGCAGCAGGGCCATGATGCCCCTACTGAACCCAGGCAGAGGTTACACTCAGACCTCCACTGTCC